TTTTAATTTGTTGATCGTCTAAATAATAGAGAAGTGTTAGTAGTGCCGGTAATTGACAATCTTCCTTGTGGGTTCGACCCTTAATACCCTGTATTCGCTCTCGACTCATATACTTGCAAAAAATCACGTGTGAGGTATTTAGAATGTTATAAATGTAAAAATTGACTGTAGAATGAGTTAATTGTTATATGTATACCCCGTGCTCGTCAATGAGTTCGAGCCGCCATATACCAACTCTCGAACCTATTGGCTAAAGATGTAAAAATTTCATCACAAATAGCAAGAAAAGTGAGAATGAAGAGATTGGAGAAAAGATGAGTCATGCTAATGGCGAGTCTTCGATGGAAATGTTTGAACCTAATACCAAGGGAGGAGAAGTATCTACCAAACTTGACAATTACTCTACCGTGCTGCAAGAGGAAGTTCCTACTAAATCTAAAAAGTCATAGGAGAAAGTTTCTGCTCAATTTGTAAAGCTGGATGAGGAGGTCAGAGAGGACCACGGTATACCATAACAATTTGATATCTGATCATATCTAAGAACTGGACTGTCACTCCACAATCAAATGCTATCAATCGTCCAATGAAATTCCAGCCTAGGTTTGAGCTCCAAAACAAACACATTATTCACAGTGCAAAAGCTTAACAAATTTACCTCATCCCCATGTTTTCCTTTAACTTTAGACATTGTAGATTTGACCTGGCGGCAGGAAAGGAAGACAACACCAATGTCTTACCTGCAGATTCTTGTAATTGTTACTATCAGGTAAATGCTATCCTACTCTACTTACTCATTTTAATTATTGTGACTTGTGAAGGGCATTTATATTTTTTTATTACAGTGTTTTGATCTATTTAGAACTCTCTAGTTTCTACTCCAATATCTTGTCCCACCTACTCTAATTATTGAGAAGATATTTTATTAATAGTATTTATAATAATCTAGAACTCTCTTCTAATATGAATTTTATCCAAAAATAAAAAAGAAAGCTTTTAATCTTTTTATTAAAGTGTTTTTAACTTACTAATCTAAAGGTGTCTGTGTCTCACAAGAATGGAAGATGGGGCCAATGTATCGCTTGTGGATTTTCGTGGATGTTACTAACAAGGAAATGTTATCCTACACCACTTATGCCTTTCGATTATTATGAACTGTGAAGAGCATTTATCTTCTTTTATTAAAGTGTTTTGACTATCTAGGACTCTAATCGTTCTAGCATTTTTTTTGGGAAAAATCTCACTGCGACCGTGCTGATTGGACACGGCCGCGGTGCTCATCGGCCAATAAGTTCCCAGAGTTTCAATAATTTGCGTACGATTTTCACATGGCCTTGTTGGCCTTTGTCACACGCCTGACAGTCAAGTGTCAGGCGCCTAATGACTTTTTTTTTTGGACTGCCTGTCTCTAGTCGTGCTAACTGGGCACGGCTGGGAACATGCATTCGTTACTTTTTTGACCGTGCTGACTTTTTCAAAAAAAAAAAAAAACATTCTTCGCCAATTAGTTACCAAATTTATTATGCGGCCGTGCTGAATCAGCACGGCACGTATAAATTGAGAAAATATCCCATGTTAGAAGTACATTTGGTGGTTGTTTTTCTTTTTTTTTTTACATATAATCTAAGAAATTAGCCATCCTTGTAGGAGTCAATTCCATAATTGTTTTAAGCCCCGATTTCACTTCTGTATCACATGATGTCACGTGACACAATACTCGTTTAGATTTTCCAATCATCTTTCATAATCGTAGACCTCAGTGGCCTGTGCAGTCCTGGCCGAGAATATGTCCCGGCGGCTAGTGCTGGTGGCCCTTTTAGTTACAGCCTCTATCTTAGCTCCAATGCCGACGGCTATCCCTGCTTTTCCACCGAAGGCAAGTTTTTGCATTTCTTCTTGTGAGAACCCGTAAATTCCTTGATAATTTTCCTAGGATTTTTCCCCTTTAAAGACATGTTTTCTGCATTTTCGGTTTAGGAAAATTTTCCTGGTGAATTTTATGAGTAATCATGTTTTTAGATGATTTTTCTAGTATTGGAGAATTTTTGAAAAATTAAGGATATATATCGGACGTGGGACCCACTAGTGCGAAAAGTTCGGAAAAATTCGGCCAATTAGGTTAAGTTCCGGATACTGGTGGAAATTTATCGGGTGTTAAGAGATAAGTAGAGGGTGAGATTTGATTGATGTGAGAGGAAAAAGGAAGGATAGGATTGCATTAATGGAGTGGCAAGTGTCACCATTATATTGGATGTAACTTGTGGACAACTATTCACCTTTTGACTTGTCTTACCAATTGAATAAATATCTCCAAAAATCACAAAAAAATTCACTCTTGTCTTCATCTTCTTGGCCAGCCACCTTGAGCTTAGGAAGAAAGAAAACTCTTCAAAATCTTGGCATCCATCTAGTGCAAATCATCCAAAGCAATCACCCAAACTTGTTTCTACTCCATAAAACCCTTTCACTAGGTGTTAGTGGTTTGGTTGGTGAAGTGTTTGGAGGAGCTAAGGTGTCCTACAACTCTCCCTCTCTTGTTTACTAGGTGAGTGGTGATTGAACTTCCTCCTACACTTAATGAAGCTTAAGTTATGCTTAGTGGTGGCTAGAGTGTTGAATTTTGTGACTTATATCTTGTTTTTGCATGAAATGATGAGGTTTTCAATTTATTGGTGATTTTTCTGGTTTAATGTGATCATGATGTTGTGGCCTTGTTTTATGATTGGCAATGGCCTATAATGACTCTAGTAGGTGCAAATTATGGGTAATTGCAACCAATTTTGAGTTTGAAAGGAAATGTGAAAAGTTAGGGTTTCATAATTCTCTTTTCTGTCCGGTTTTGTATCTTATGGTTAGAGGTCGAATTGGCCTTTTCTTAAAACATGAAAGTTGTAGGTATTGATGTTATAAAGGAGCCTGTAAAATTTCAGGTCAATTGGAGTAGTGTGGAATGAGAAAAGTCGAAATTACTATTGCTGTTCTGGTTTGGTCAGAATGTGAGAACTGCGCCTGTAATTGACTGTTTTGGCTGGAATTGTTTTGGAATTTGTTGTTGAGGTCTTCTGATGAAATGTAGCTTGATGTCTTAGCTACCATATGCCTTTGGAATTTCGGAATTTGGACCTGTATAGACTGAGTTGTACTGATTACAGCAGAATGTAGTTTGCAAACCTGTTATTGCGGTTCTGGCTTCGTTTCTTGCATATTTGACCTAGTTATGCTAGGAATTGGACTGAGTGACCTTCTACATTGTTGTAGCCCTGTTCCTTAGCTTCGAAACGGTGGATCTTGCACCCTCATCCGACAATCGTAGTGAAATCGGTGCCATTACCGCAAAGTGAGGACAAAACTGTTTTTTTTTCAGGGTCAAAGCTAGTTACATTTCCAAAATTTCTGGTTGCCTATGATGATTGTATATGTTTATAAAACTCTATTGGGGTTGTGATTGGCATTGCTTTATGACTCGTTATCGAGTCTCATTGTATTTGTTTGCGTGTTCTAGGGCGTGACGGTAGTTCACGACGTTCTTTTAACGACGGTGCATGAAACATCACCTACTTGAGTGGTGAGTATACTACTCACTTAAATGTTACAATATGGCTTTGCTATATGTGAATTGATGCCTTGAAGGCTTATTTGGCTACTGAAATTGATTGAGGTGAGGGTGTACTTGACCGCCCTCACCCCTTGTGGTACCATGCATAACTGTTTACCGTTTTATGGAAATACTGCACTTGATATATGAGATAATGAATTCCTTTCATGGAAAACTGATTTAGTGTCGTTTGGACGATTATCCAACGGCCTTACTGTATTACTGAGCTCAACCCCGTTGGTAGTCAATTGAATCGAGCCGGCGAGGGCTTGGTCGTGAAGATTGACATGCCACGGGGACTGGACTGAGGGATCTTGTAGTAATGAGACTCTTGATTCCGGTATACTCGAGTATTACCAAAAACGACTGATTGGAGTGCGGGCCCGGTTGGGGTATGTTGGTTGGAAGGATGGAAGTAAAGTGATGTCTACGGTTGGTTACTCTTTGACATTGACGGAGGGTCAATGAGGTTGGATCAAGAATGTAAGCGTGGAAATGGGCTCTTGAGAGCCGACCGTATTCTGTTACCAACTTGTTATATTCTTTATCGTGTACTTGAAATGAAAGGTTATACTATATGCTCTTTGTTGCTTATGTGGTAGTAACTCACTGGGTTTAAGCTCATTCCGTTCTATTTGTTTTCCTTACAGGGATATAATTACTTTTGAGATTGGATTGGATAGTCGATTGCCAAGTTGAGCTCGTGTAAATGTCTTTTGTATAGCTCTTTGAATGAAACCCTAATGTGTATTGGGTTCATTTTCTTTTGATTGGCAAACCGAATATGTATATTCATGATGAATGGTTTTTGGCATGCCACTATGGTTGTAAATGTTGAATTTCAATGTATATACGTTTGGTTGATGTTTGGTTGGATTTCGGATTGATTCGTATTTCAAACGGCAAAGGAAAAATTTTTGGCAAAATGAACAGGGCCAAATACGGCCAGGAATCCGGCCAGAAACTGGCCGGATTGAGGGCCGGATTGCCCTGTGGAAAAATGGATCCGGCCAGACAATTCGGCCGGAATCTTGGCCGGATTTCCGGCTGGATTGCCAAAGGAAAATGGGATTTTCAGGTTTGCTCACTGGCCAGTATCCGGCCAGGAATCCGGCCGAACATCCGGCCAGATTCTGGCCGGATTCTGACGTGGCCGGTACTGTTCATCTTCGGTTTCGATTTTCGTTTTTTTTATATTGTGATTTTGACTTGTTTGCGCGCGTTGGTATGTTTCGGAACGTATTAGATCGATGTAAACTGATCCGTTAGTCCTGACGAGAGTTGGGCAGGCAGTCCGCTAACCCCTTTGGTTCGCCTTAGGGTAAGGTGGGGCTGTCACACTTCTCATCCCCAATCAATGAGTATAACTGATATCATTTTCGCTTTACAAGGTTCATTCTCTGTTTCTCCTTTTATGTTTTTTTGCTTTCGAAGTGATTTTTTTTTTGGGGGTAAAAGAAGTGATTTTGTGAGTATAGTGTGGTGATTTTTTTAGTACAGTATTGAAGAATTCAATATGAAGAAAGTTTCTCAATTATAATCTAGGGCTTCCACTGGTGAGGAATATCAGTGAGCTTACGCAGGATAGTTATGGTAGACCCGGTTTGTCTCACATGACCATAGCCGGTTTGCTTTTACATGGGATGAAAGAGGTAAGTCAATCCTATACCAATTCTCTGGTGTTAAACTGTTAAATTGAAAATTAGGAGGTAGCTTTCTTGCGTCTCTTAGCCCTAAATTCTATGAATGCCCTTTCAATAGGTTGAGGTGTGGCTGCAAACTTTTGCTCCTGGATCTCATACTCCAATTCATAGGCATTCATGCGAGGAAGTGTTCGTGGTACTAAAAGGGAGTGGGACTCTTTATCTTGCTTCTAATTCACACTCCAAATACCCTGGCAACCCACAAGAGTTTCCTATATTCTCTAATAGCACGTTTCATGTCCCTGTTAATGATGCTCATCAGGTGAATTGTTTCAACTTTTGCTTTTCTTTGTTTGTGCAGAACTTTTGCAAATATATCTGTATTCAATTCAGCAATATCTGCATAGAAAGAAAATTGAACATCATTCTTGCTATTGTTTTTTCCCCTTATGGAGTGGAGGAGTGGGTTTCACAACATGAAAGGAAGAAATCCGAGTGAATGGAAGGGAAAGCTCACCAGAAAAGTGTCTATTAACTGTTACAGGATGAAGCCCCATCCCATGTTAATGAAATTGATTATGTTTAAAGTTTATTGTTCCATTTTTTTTCTTTTTCTATTTTTAATCTCAGTTTACAATCCTTTTTTGGTCCTTCCTGTTCTCCATGATTTGTGGAATTGCTGTTGCTAGTACGGTATATATTTACTAATTATGAGGTTGCAGTGCTCATGCTAAAGTATCCTGAGATATGCACAACACTTTTTGTTCATTTATTTTTGTTGCAGATATGGAACACAAACAAAGAGGAGGATTTACAGTTCTTGGTTATTGTCTCTCGTCCTCCAGTGAAAGTGTAAGCATGTTCTGCACTTCAGTCATTTCTAGTTGCCTTGTATCTCATCAATTTACATTATTCCATGTTAGATCTGTACTACTAGTATCTCAAGTAAATATCTGATTTATGGAAGTTACTTTGGAGGGAAACAAGTTTCAATTTTCATCAATACACACACACTCACATATATAGAAAAGTCAATTGTTCGATGACCCAAAAAGCATTTTGCAGAAATTTTACTTCAAAGATGACTTCAGAGATGTTGTAGTTGGAGTAATGTGTGTTAGTGATGAACTAGAATTCTTCTTTAGGTCATATGGAAACATGATAGTTTAGTTGGTGATGAAGCTAGTGCAAGGATTAAATTGAGAAGAAAAGATGGACATATTTTGGGAAAATGGATGGATTCAAGGTACTAGAGGAGCCAAAAGTGTGATTCTTTCCAAATAGAAAATTTCAATTTGCTGGGTTTTGGGGATAGTGAAGACTAGAGGGATGAAGAGAAACATATATTAAAAGGACAGGGAGAACAAGGGGAATGCTAGGTGCCAATTATCTTTTTCAAATCGATCTTTTTTTTTGGACCTTGTAGTGGAGAATAAGATAGATGTTTTTGATGGATTGAGTTCTTTATTTGAAGCAATTGATGGATTCTTTTTGTTATACTTTCATATATCCGATTATCACGAGACTTAGTAGATTAATATACATAAGTAGATGTATCCCTTCGTATACTTGGATTTTATGGTTAGGAAATGACAATTATGCTCTGTGTTCTTACTTTCAGGTTTATATATGATGACTGGCATATGCCGCATACTGCAGCCAAATTGAAGTTCCCTTATTATTGGGATGAAGAGTGTTACCTGATGCCTCCAACAAAAGATAAGCTTTAACTTGAAAGCAAGAATCTTGCACAATTAGTGGAAGTCAAATTTTATCCAATCAGTTGCAAGCATGACGCATGCAGTGTTCTCATTTCAAGAGGTACAATTAAACTCTTGCCTTCTTCAGATCAAAAGGACTAGTATTGTATGGTTCTGTTGGATGGGTGCATTTAATTACCTTTTCTGCTGCATGCTTCAGAGCCCAAGATTTTGTAGCAAGCATTTTGAGAATAGCCAATTTCCATTGTATATTTTCTATATAAGAATGAGATATTACTATAGCAGACTGAAGTATGACAACAGTTCTGTGGAGATCTTCTTCTGTACCAACTTACATGTTCGATTAAAGAATTGACAAGTTTCTTCTCTATCGTTTGTTTCATCCCTTTGTTGCATTTTTAATTTCTATTTCCGATCAATTACAGCTTATATGTTATACCTTATGGAACTTTCTAGTTGGTATACATATTTTCTTGTTCGAAGCAGTCTAGTACGTATTTCTTTCTTAGACCTCTAAGGCAGAGCATTCTATTCTTGAAGATCTCTGGAACTGGGTACAACTGAGTGTGACTAATTTTTTTGTGAGATTTCACTTCAACAACTCCTCTACCAGGCGAAGGAGAGGGTTTGAGAAGGGACATAGTCATATACCTGCTATGGTTATTGGTTCTGCCATAAGAGGTTGACAAATGATTGTGACTGGCTTCAGTTTTTATTTTGAATGTAATAAAAATCAAAAAATAAGTTGAGCCACACAATTCTTGACACAGCTTGGTTTACTTGCATTAAGCCTTAAGGAAACACCAACAAGGGAAGTTTGACAATTTAATAACATATGGAAGAGAGAAGAGACTTTTCAACATAAGTAGATAAAATGGCAATTGGATTCAGCACAACATTGTGTACACCTGCTTGTCCTTTTTTCCCTTCCACCGGACTTATTCATCTGTGTATGCTGTGAGGTCTTTTTTGCATTTTTTTTCTGGGGGAAAAAGGTTAACATTGTTACCTTTGTTCATGTTTTGGTTGTATTGAATGCAGTCTCTTCAATGTATTATTGAGTATCCTTTTTTTCCTGTTCTGGCCTCTATTTGATATTACTTTAGGCGTTCGTTTGGGAGTTTAGGAAAAGAGGGGGGGGAACGTTATGAAAGAAGAGGAGAGAAGAGAAGGGATTGTTATGTTGTTTAGGGGTTTTGAGAATTAGTGGAATGATTTTGGATATGAAAGTCATTAAATATTTGTTCAAGACATTTTTAAGGATAAAATAGGTATTTTAAAAAATTTTCACAAGCTTCCTCCAACTTTCTCTCCAATTTGGGAGGAAAAATTTTGCCTTCTATTCATCCTCTCATTTCCTTTCTTTTCTCTCTTACTAAAAACTTACAAACAAAAGAACTTTCTCTTCTTTTCCTTTCTTTTCTGTCCAAATCCTCAACTCCCAAATGAACCCTTAATTTTGCTATGCTTTTTCCCTCTTTCTTGAATTCTCTATGCATTTATAGTGCACATGGCTTCATCTCTTTTTCCCCATTTTCATTTCTTGACCTGTTTTCTCTTTCCTTTAGTTGTTAGATGGATGTAAAGGCATTGAGTATATTTGAGGTCCACAGTTCTTTGCTACGATGGACTATTATCCAAGTTATTGAGGGCTCACATCTCAAAACTACTGATGCAGAATGTGCCACAAAAGTGTATTGTCGCTTCGTGTTTGATGATGCGCATGTGCGTTTAGCTTTTTGCCCCTTGTATTGTCATAGTTTACTCTGTGGTCCTTTTGTTTGCTTGAAGTATTAGTTGTGATTTCAGTAATATATTCCGTGTTAATGCCTCGGGGTTTTGGAATGAAAAAGTTATACTATTTTTTAGCCAACTGTACACGTTGTATGGTGAATTTGAGCGCCTGGTTTATCCTTTTTTCCATTTTTTTGGGGGGAAAAGGCTAACATTGTTACCGTTGTTCATGTTTGGTTGTATTGAATGCAGTTTCTTCAATGTATTGAGTATCCTTGTTTTCTGTTCTGGCCCCTCTATTTGCCATTACTTTACTTTTTTTCCTTCTTTTTTCTCACTGGTTTCCTTTTTTCATACGAGTAGTTGTTTTGTTTCTGAGCTGATATTGTGACAAACTAACTCTTGTCTTTTGGTTGACTGATTTGTAATAGATATGATAGGAGTTGTTTTATATGCTTTACCAGTGAGAAAGGCGCTTTTAGACGGTGACGGTGTTTCTGTTATTGCTAGAGATTATGTCATTGATCAAAGGTGATTTCCGGTGCTTGGATCCTTCCGTGTTGCTTTTGTTGGCCGCTGCATTTTTCAAGATTGCTGACACCTTGTTGTTTATGTTTGTTGCTATGGTAAGAAACCTGTTCTGTGATTTTTTTCTGCGATTTTTGAGACTGAAGTGGGATGGACCATAGTAGATGCAATGGGGTCTGTTGAGTCCAATCCAGTTATTATTGGTATTAGACACAGAGTGAAGCCTGATAATTGTGAGATCTGTTTCTATGTATATTCATGGTTCCTTAGTTAATTTGTGTTAGGCTGTTGTGTTACAGGTCTCTGTGCTATCATTTTTTCTTGGCACTTGTCCCTTCTGCACTTTAAATCATGGATTGTTTGCTAAGTCATATCAAGCTAGAATGTTATATGGATCTTTTGAAAGGTGACATATTTATTAGGCATTCTGATGGAAGGTGAACCTCCCTTTCTTCAACTAATATCCTTGAATTCTTTTCCCTCGTCCCGGGAAATAATGGTTTTTTTTTTTGCCTTTTTTGGTAGTAGAGGAAGGTGCTAAATAAAGAAGACAGAATTCAGAACAAGAATCCTAATTATTACAGTTCGGATGAACGAAACGAGGAAAACAGACCTCTCTTATAGTTTAGATGGATTAGTGCTTATCAACCATTGAACTCACTAACTCATTGCGTGTTGATCTGGATGGCGAATATTTTTTTGCTTAATATTGCATTAAATAGTGCGATCCAGGCTTGAATTTGCTTATACCAAATTAGGAATTCACCAAATTAGGAATTCAATGGTTGATAAGTACTACTCCCTCCGTCCCACTTTGATAGTCTTGTTTTCCTTTTTCGTCTGTCCCAAATTGTAGTCCACTTTCCCATTAAGAAATGTAGTAATCTTTCAAATTATCTAAAATACCCTTATTAAATATCTTGTTATTAATACATTGTTATTAAATACTAACCCACTACATTGGATATATTGAGTTTTTCCAATACTAACTCATTAGCTGTAACTGATATTAATTGGCACTCTTCGTGATTAGCATAAGGGTATTTTAGAAAATTATTAATCTAAATTTATGTTTCCAACCAAATTAATTACACTTTCTTAATCTGTGTGAAAAAAAAAAATCAAGACTAACAAAACGGGACGGAGGGAGTAATTCATTGATCTCCAAGGAAAAAACATCAAGGACATGGGATAGAATCTGAAACCTTTTTTCCAGACAATGCCTATATAAGATTGCGCGGTCTAAAAATATATTGACATCGCCTAGGATTGCTTTGCTGCCCGTGAGCTTCCCCACTATGTTTTCATTTTCTCTCTTCATTTGCTAATCAATTTAATAATGCCAATTTCATCAATTAAACAATTTAAGAAAAGGTTCAACTAGCTACCCTACCAATCAAAAGAATTATTTTCATCACCTTAAAAATAGCAAAGCAGCAAAGGCTGCATGTTAGAGGTTTCCCAAAAAAACATCCGGTAAAAGTTGTTATACAAAAAGCATAAACTAACCATTCATCGCATCACTCCAAAATATCATGCTCAAATTTGTACGGCTCCATAACCTTCATTATAAGACCAAATAGAAGGAAATTTTAAAAAAAATGTGCAGAAGGGTGTCAAATACATGCAAAATAAATATGGTCCTTAAGTATATAGGCATTTTTTTATATATTATTTTCAGCTATTAATCTTGAGTTTTAAATGAATAGGCTTTTTCTCATACAAAATTTGATTGGGCTGCTTAATCATGAATCTGTCCAAATCCTCAACTCCCAAATGAACCCTTAATTTTGCTATGCTTTTTCCCTCTTTCTTGAATTCTCTATGCATTTATAGTGCACATGGCTTCATCTCTTTTTCCCCATTTTCATTTCTTGACCTGTTTTCTCTTTCCTTTAGTTGTTAGATGGATGTAAAGGCATTGAGTATATTTGAGGTCCACAGTTCTTTGCTACGATGGACTATTATCCAAGTTATTGAGGGCTCACATCTCAAAACTACTGATGCAGAATGTGCCACAAAAGTGTATTGTCGCTTCGTGTTTGATGATGCGCATGTGCGTTTAGCTTTTTGCCCCTTGTATTGTCATAGTTTACTCTGTGGTCCTTTTGTTTGCTTGAAGTATTAGTTGTGATTTCAGTAATATATTCCGTGTTAATGCCTCGGGGTTTTGGAATGAAAAAGTTATACTATTTTTTAGCCAACTGTACACGTTGTATGGTGAATTTGAGCGCCTGGTTTATCCTTTTTTCCATTTTTTTGGGGGGAAAAGGCTAACATTGTTACCGTTGTTCATGTTTGGTTGTATTGAATGCAGTTTCTTCAATGTATTGAGTATCCTTGTTTTCTGTTCTGGCCCCTCTATTTGCCATTACTTTACTTTTTTTCCTTCTTTTTTCTCACTGGTTTCCTTTTTTCATACGAGTAGTTGTTTTGTTTCTGAGCTGATATTGTGACAAACTAACTCTTGTCTTTTGGTTGACTGATTTGTAATAGATATGATAGGAGTTGTTTTATATGCTTTACCAGTGAGAAAGGCGCTTTTAGACGGTGACGGTGTTTCTGTTATTGCTAGAGATTATGTCATTGATCAAAGGTGATTTCCGGTGCTTGGATCCTTCCGTGTTGCTTTTGTTGGCCGCTGCATTTTTCAAGATTGCTGACACCTTGTTGTTTATGTTTGTTGCTATGGTAAGAAACCTGTTCTGTGATTTTTTTCTGCGATTTTTGAGACTGAAGTGGGATGGACCATAGTAGATGCAATGGGGTCTGTTGAGTCCAATCCAGTTATTATTGGTATTAGACACAGAGTGAAGCCTGATAATTGTGAGATCTGTTTCTATGTATATTCATGGTTCCTTAGTTAATTTGTGTTAGGCTGTTGTGTTACAGGTCTCTGTGCTATCATTTTTTCTTGGCACTTGTCCCTTCTGCACTTTAAATCATGGATTGTTTGCTAAGTCATATCAAGCTAGAATGTTATATGGATCTTTTGAAAGGTGACATATTTATTAGGCATTCTGATGGAAGGTGAACCTCCCTTTCTTCAACTAATATCCTTGAATTCTTTTCCCTCGTCCCGGGAAATAATGGTTTTTTTTTTTGCCTTTTTTGGTAGTAGAGGAAGGTGCTAAATAAAGAAGACAGAATTCAGAACAAGAATCCTAATTATTACAGTTCGGATGAACGAAACGAGGAAAACAGACCTCTCTTATAGTTTAGATGGATTAGTGCTTATCAACCATTGAACTCACTAACTCATTGCGTGTTGATCTGGATGGCGAATATTTTTTTGCTTAATATTGCATTAAATAGTGCGATCCAGGCTTGAATTTGCTTATACCAAATTAGGAATTCACCAAATTAGGAATTCAATGGTTGATAAGTACTACTCCCTCCGTCCCACTTTGATAGTCTTGTTTTCCTTTTTCGTCTGTCCCAAATTGTAGTCCACTTTCCCATTAAGAAATGTAGTAATCTTTCAAATTATCTAAAATACCCTTATTAAATATCTTGTTATTAATACATTGTTATTAAATACTAACCCACTACATTGGATATATTGAGTTTTTCCAATACTAACTCATTAGCTGTAACTGATATTAATTGGCACTCTTCGTGATTAGCATAAGGGTATTTTAGAAAATTATTAATCTAAATTTATGTTTCCAACCAAATTAATTACACTTTCTTAATCTGTGTGAAAAAAAAAAATCAAGACTAACAAAACGGGACGGAGGGAGTAATTCATTGATCTCCAAGGAAAAAACATCAAGGACATGGGATAGAATCTGAAACCTTTTTTCCAGACAATGCCTATATAAGATTGCGCGGTCTAAAAATATATTGACATCGCCTAGGATTGCTTTGCTGCCCGTGAGCTTCCCCACTATGTTTTCATTTTCTCTCTTCATTTGCTAATCAATTTAATAATGCCAATTTCATCAATTAAACAATTTAAGAAAAGGTTCAACTAGCTACCCTACCAATCAAAAGAATTATTTTCATCACCTTAAAAATAGCAAAGCAGCAAAGGCTGCATGTTAGAGGTTTCCCAAAAAAACATCCGGTAAAAGTTGTTATACAAAAAGCATAAACTAACCATTCATCGCATCACTCCAAAATATCATGCTCAAATTTGTACGGCTCCATAACCTTCATTATAAGACCAAATAGAAGGAAATTTTAAAAAAAATGTGCAGAAGGGTGTCAAATACATGCAAAATAAATATGGTCCTTAAGTATATAGGCATTTTTTTATATATTATTTTCAGCTATTAATCTTGAGTTTTAAATGAATAGGCTTTTTCTCATACAAAATTTGATTGGGCTGCTTAATCATGAATTGGGCATACAAAATTTTGTCTCTATTGCACAGAGCGCGGTTTATATTTCCTAGTTATTGGTAAATTGGGTAGCGGTTCCAAATTATGACATTGGCTCTTCTATTTGTCATCAAGGTCATTTGTAAGAATTGTAGTTTTAAAATGATTAATTCAAGTTGTTAGTAGTTTATTATGTATTATTTACTAAATAATATTTTTATGCTTGTTTATCATACGAGTTTTAAAGGTGGTTCTCGTTCCTTGTAAGTTAGAATTTAGCACCACAAAACACTCAAGTACAAGGTTTGATGTAACAATTGTAACATCATGGGTGGTGACTGGTGAGTTAACCCAAAACTATTTGAGCGGAAAACAAAGGCTTTAAATAAATTGATTGCCCAATATATTATCCATCGATAAATATTTATATTTCTACTGATCAATATATCAATACTTTTTCTCGAGCCATGAGTCTTGTTTCCAAGAGACTAGTTCACTACTTAGATCTGAGTTCCCTTAGTTGATATGAGCCACCACATCAATTAATCTAATTCGGTCAATATATTCTTTCT